AGTCCTCCTGGGAGCTTTGTGAGACTCAGCAGGTAGAAACTCTGAGAAACCTGATCTGGCCTTATAGCTGACCCTGCTTGGAGCAGGGGCTTGGCCTGAGGCTCCTTCCAACCCAGATCATTCCATGTTGCTTTGTTCTGCCTTAGCAAGGACAGGTGACAGGCTTACTTTCCTGGAGATAGAGTTGTTCTATGGAAAGAAGCAAAACTGTCAAAAACATGCTCATGCACCTGATATAGCTGCTGGAAAACCCATTCCTTTATTTTGGGAAGGAGTTTGCTCTTTAAAAGAACATTCTGTACCTGATTCTGGTTTTCAAGGTTTTAGAAATCTCATTCTGCAGTTGAGCATTTTGACAGTTTTCTTTTCAAGTTTACATTCAGTCTTTAATGGTTGCTATAATTTCACTTTTAAACAGCACGGTTCTTCAAAGCCAACAGTGAAACAGCATCAGCTGAGGTCTGTCTGGTGATCACGAGGGGTTCTCAGTGGCTCATTTCTTCAGCTGTCATTTGTCAGCACACACTCATGTAATCTTAATGAACAATGTGCAAAGCCATTAAAAACTCAATTACGGCTTTCTTTTTACTGCAGACGTGAGAAAATGCAATCATAAAGTGCTGATGTGTAAACACAATAGCCACCATCTGCTACAGAGTAGCATTTCAGCTCCAAAAAGAGGATATATGTTGCAGATGCATCAATAATAGGATGCTTATCAAGGCATCATTATGCACCAAGCAGGGGAAAAATTGAAATTTATGGCCAGCTAGAGAGCACTTCATGGTTTAATTCCCCAATTTTCAGTGGTATGTTTAATAACTATGAGAGAGTGCCGTTTTATGCTCCTGTCGTTCGAACGGATTTTTAAAAATGAATTTATTTACCGTCTTCCCATCCTCCTTGCTTCTGACTGATCCAAACATAACACATTCATTTTTGGTTATTAGGACAAAACCAGCAAGATATTAATTAATCTAACCTGTTGTTCCAAGAACATTAAATTTAATTGACCTGATATTCAATCTGCTGTAATGAGCATATACTTATGTGTCCAATAAATATAAAACAGAACTTCTACACAGCATTAGGTAATTTTTTCCCCGTAAACTCATTTTTTCAGTTCAGTGTTGACTTTATGAGGTAAACAAAACAATGAGACTAAATTATTTTTTTTCTACTGTTATTATTTTTCAAAATTGGATATGCAGTGCTCTAAATAAGACTTTCTCCAAGATACCTTTAGTTTTATTCAGAATGTTGCCTGGAGACATTTAAGTGGCTTTCAGTCATCCATTGATCAATAATTTCCATTTGTGACATGTTAATTCATTCCCTGGTTCTTTATATGAGTGGAAAATGTGACAAGTGGTTTGTTGATGCCAGACCAGATTGTTATCTCTTTTATTTGCACATATAGGCCCATAAATTGAGAGTAAGTCCCATCAGCTTCAATTCTGTGTTCAGTCTAAAGAAGGCTGTCAGGCTCTGAATCACAATATGTCAATTTTTATTAAGGATAATAAGGAAAACCACACTTGTCCTTAAAAGGCTGTTTGGATTTTTTTTTTATTTTTTTTTTTTTTTCTGGTGAGAGCAATTTTCATGATCTCTCACCTAACTCTAAGTGATGTATCTTGCCCAGACAAGCTTCACTGGGCATGGACATTTATAATAGGACAGTGGATCTTAGCTGTGGATCTTGGAGCATGCAGAGTAACCTTTTGAAGGTCCTAGAGGACAGGACCCATACAAGTTCACACTGTGACAAGAAAAAGGAAAAAGTGTGCTGATCAGTATATTTGGAGGCCAGTTTATAGAATACAGATAGAATTCATTCACAACTGAATTTTGTAGATTGGCATGTTCTTGTATCCAATGTCAGTTACAGTCTTGATGAAACTGTAAGTTTTACACCCTCTGTGATGGCCAGGCTTTTGCACTATACCTTGGCTAGCCAGGGGAAAGGTTTGCTGTGGAAGCTGCCACACGAAGTCTCTGCAGAAATAGGGAATGTGGTATAGTTGGTAGATGACAAACTGATGTAAATAAGGTGTGAGTACTTTTCTCTGGCAGAGATGGCACTATAAATGGAGATGTTTCATCTTTTCCACTGTCATATAAAATAAGACCTCTTATCAGGACTTTACTGGAGACAGTGATGTTTGTACAGTGCTTTCTCCTGCATCTCTAGGCATACAGTATTTAAAAAACCCATAAGCTATAAATAAGAAGCTATGAATAATTTGCGTGTGACAATTGTTTGTAAGGCTATTCTTTTAGTAACTAAGACTAATTATTTTAGTAAGTGCTTTTTGTTGGATGGATATTTTACTTTCCTGTGTTGTCAGTTGCTAGAATCAGGCGCCATATTTTCTCTAAAATTGTCAGCAGTTGCACAAAAGACCATTGTCATACTGCGAATAGCTTGTGATTCATTTTTTTGTGGGTGGTAAAAAAATAAAACTGTAATTATTGCTTTGAAATTTTTTATAAAAGCTGATGCTTTTTCTCCCAGAGGAAAGCTTGTTATTTTTACACATGAAACTGTGAAAGTGAAATACCCCATAACTTTTTCTATTATTGAAACATTTACCTACCCCAGTGCAGTTCAAGTCTGTATTGTATTAGACACAGCACAGTTTCAGAGTAGTTCTTTAGGGTAGGAATTCATGTATTATCCAAATCTAAAAAAAAAAAAAAAGATAAAAGTTGAGAAAGATGCACAGAAGTGAAGTGATCCAATCAATGATGGTGCAAAAATAGTTTTCCTGGGTTCCTACCCAGTGTATCAGGCACTTGGTCAAAAACCTTGCGGATGCAGAGGAGGACCTCTGCTTCTCTTCACTGTTTTAATTGACTTCACCATCCTCAAGTGTGAGATTGGGCAAATGTAGAACTTGCCATCACTGTATCTTGTGCTATTTCTCAAAATGGCATTGAAGTGCTGCAGGCAGTGTGTTTCACAGCAGCTGCTACAGTCCTCTATATAATACTCCTGTTACTCAGCAGTTTTACAGCGGCTTTCCTCCCAAATTCTCAGTAGAAGAGTGCTTCTTACCTACTATTCTTGCTTTATTTCTAAGGGAAGATAAGGCAGACTATGTGTGCTGACCAAGATCATGGAAGTGAGTGTCACTCCTAGAAAGGAGGCTGTTGGGTTTCTATCCTGCTGCCTTAACTGTCAGGCTGTGCTGCCTCTTCAAGCCTGTTGGCAGTTGTGCTTTCTGATAATAAATTATCCTAGATCATAGAAACAGAATCCAAATCTCAGTTTTTCAAACCTTTATTTGGGTGGATTTTTAAGAACAGTATTTATATGGTACTTGCTGAAGAAGGGGATTTTGTTTAACTGGGATCAGAATTAGATCAACAATGATCATTTGTCAGCATCCCATCTTACGGACTTTGGTTTCAAGTTCAGAAACTTGGAAAAGTTTGGATTCATCTGTTATGTTTTTCAAAGTTCTTGCTGTGAATCTGGAATTTTTTGACTCGGGGCCATTTTGATTTTCAGCATAGCAAAATGAAAGATAGGATTGTCAGAGAGCAACTTGCCTATACATTTTCATATTTCTTAGTACAGCTTCTTCCCCAGCTGTGCTTTCATTGTGCTTGAATTTTCCAAGGTCTCTAGAGGATGTGTTTTGGTTTTTTTTTTTTGTTTTGTTTTGTTTTGTTTTTTTCATAAAGATTGACTTCCTTCTGTATCCATGCTTTTCAACCTTTTACAAAATGCATATATGGCATATAAACACAGGGGAAAAAACATTTTTGTGGGAGAAAGTTGCTGGTATCTATTGATACAAATTTCGAATATATGACTGTTCACTGCACAGAATTGATCAAAATGTTTATCTGGCTCATCTGAGTGTCACCCTGCTATGGCATGGAATAGGGAAAGTCACTAGGTTAGATGTGAGGCAAGGCTTTGCAAACTCAATCTTCTGTGAACTGCAAGAGGCCAGCAGAGAAATACATTTGTAGCATGCCTTGGCAGCAGCATCAGAACTGAGAGTGTCAAGGGGGCTGCATTTGATTAAAAATTATCATGCCTGGCTGCTGACACGCAGATTTCCTCCCCCACCGTCTTGGTATTTTCTTCAGCTTTTTCTGAGGGTGAGTGTCTGTACACACATAAAGGAGATCCTTTAAACAAAATTGAATCAAATAACTCTCATAATGTTTTTCCTTATTGCTAACATTTGTCACCTTGATGCATCTGTGAAGAGATGGGTTGAGACACAATGTGCTGTAAAATAACTGCTTGATGAATCAAAATGCAAGTTCAACATCAAGTGCCATGGTTAATATGATGCAAGCTTCCAGGTTAACAAACTCATAAATTGCCTTAGTATATATTTCCCTCCCCAAATTCAGCCTGTCCTTCCCTCCTAGAAGAATAGTTGTCCTTGTTGCATTATTTCTAGTTGAGATGTTGCTGTCGTGTTAACAAGTCAATTCATTTGGGCTTTGAAACCTGGGTTTTTCTTAACACATTACAACCTTCAAAACTTTACAGTGCTAAGATGGAGGTTTCACAGGTATAGATTGGCACAAAGTTGGTAGGGGCCAGGTAGGCAAACATCAGGTGAGAAGTTGGTCCATTGTTGTAGTTTTTCTCCTGAATGTGCCTTTGGGGGATTCTGTGCTGTAGGAGAGGCTTGTTGCTGCTTGAAGTGTGAATATGCTTTTGTTTAGAGTGACTTTTATCATGAGGTTATAGAATAATAAAAATGAAATAGTATTTTGTTTTTTTAAGTTATCTAATTGAAGTGCTTCTAGTTAGCCTTGAATCTATTTGTGTATATACCCTGCTATTTTAATACCTTTTTTTCCTGTTACCTAACAGCAAGCATAAAATAGCTAGTTTGAGTTCTTCAGATTAATGTTTTGTTTTCTGGCTTTTAAGGGAATCACTGCCTTCTCTAATGGAACTGTTTTTACCAAAAAAAACCAAGCAAAACCACTCTTTCTTCTCTTTTTGCTTTCCTCTGTAGGCTCCTTCATGATGGTGAACAGCTCTGGGCGGGCATCGGGGCAGAAAGCTCACTTGCTGTTGCCTACGCTGAAGGAAAATGACACACACTGCATCGACTTCCACTATTACTTATCCAGCAGAGACCGTTCCAGTCCTGGTTCTCTGAATGTCTACGTGAAGGTGAACGGAGGACCACAGGGCAATCCCATATGGAATGTCTCGGGGGTTGTTACAGAAGGATGGGTGAAAGCAGAACTTGCTATCAGCACATTCTGGCCACATTTTTATCAGGTATGAGTTTGTAATATTTTTCTCTCTTTTTCCTTTGAACATTGGGTTATGTAGGAGCTAAGCTATTGTTAGCAATAGGTATTCTGAAAATCAAATTCCGCTGCCCCCTTCCCCCCCCCCCCCCTTGACATTTTCCTATCAGAATGAATTTACATATAGCAAGAAGGTTATATAGGCATCTTGACATACTTCTTCCCATTTCATCCTTCTTATTCAGTTGTTGTCAGGTCACAGAGTGATGGATAGACTTCTGGGAGTTAGATTATCAGCAAGTTAAGACTCACTTGTTTATCATAAAATTGGCACATAAACCTACTTGTATTGGCACTTTCCATGGCACTATGTAAATGTAAATACAACTGAGTGTCTAGATGTGTAACTGTATCTCTGCATAAATTTGCCTGAACTATTTTTGGCCCGTGGTTGGTTCCATAAGAAGGAACATTTGTTCACTCAGCTTTGCATCTGGACTTTTCCTGTGCCCATATGAGAAGTATATGTACATAATACTACTAATAAAATCTTGTACTGTGGTATCAATTTGAGCATACTCTTCACTAGATCCTCTGTTCCTTTTCTTTTTAGCACTGCTTGTAACATGGTTGTACTTGTTCTGTTAGGAGTTTGTTTTTTTTTTTTTTTTTAATAAATAAGTATGAAGTTGAGGAATGTAATGGGTAAGTTGTTTCTTTCGTTATGTTAATTTTACAGCTACTTGTTAGTTGTCCACTTCAAATTTCATGTGGCAACTTTGCAGTCATTGTTTTAGTTTTAATTAGATAAGATTAGTGTTGAAGGTGTGTTTTTGTCTTGTTTTTATATTCAAGACAAAAAAAAAAAAGCCTGGGAGGTAATTGTACCCTAAAACTTGCAGGAAAAGCTGATATACGTATGGTACTAGTAAAAGACATGAGTGAAATAGGAATTATGATAGAATAAAATATGAAAGGGCAGGAAATAGTCTGCAGATAGAAAACAGCAGGTAAAAAAGCTTGCTTTTATTTTTCTTTTTTTGCTTCTAATAACTGGGTAGGAGGTCTATAAAATCTGAGCTGCAGTAGAATGCTTTAATGATCTGCCTCTGAAAAAGAGTTGGGCATATCAGCAGAATACATAGAGCACACTATGCAGGATGAGAGGAAGGGATAAAAAGATGCAAATGTGTGGAAAGTGGTGTTTTAAGGGCTGTGCACAACTTGTCACTTGATCTGAAGTCATATTAAAGTGCTTATACACCATTTATATTAACATGAACCTGGTCACGAACCAGAATTTGCTTCATAGTAGGTGCTCCACAGAGATAACAGAAATGATCTTTCACCCAGATAATCAGTGCTTGAAAAACCTGGAAAAGACAGTCTGATCTCACACTAAGAGAGATCCTACTCTTAGATATACCAGTAGTAGACTTCCTGAGCCTTACTTCTTTTGCAAGTCCTTTTGCAGGTCAAGTTTGCTCTTCCTGAGCAAAAAATCCTTTAAATCAAACAAGAATTTTTCACTGCAGTGCAAAAATGAACAGATTGGAAGCCAGCAGTAACTGCCTAGGAGTAGTTCCTTCCTAGAAAATGCAAGGGTTTTCTTTTTTGCTTTTTTGGTGAATAGGGATAATGTTCCCTTCTGTTTATGTTTGTGTTCTTATTCCTTAAGTGTGGCTTTCAAAATTTGGGATCTGTCCAACTATTATAGGGGATCTAGTAGACTGTTCTATCATCAGTCCCTGATTTTATAAACTCTCTTCTGTTGACAGTCTGCAATCCTGTGAGTTTCTAAATTTAATCAAAGGTGGTTTTTTTTTAGGAAAAAATAAAACTTTAAGCTTACAAAAGTGAAGAGGAGAACACAGTGAAGGACTTGGTCAAAATTTTTGCTATTTGACAGTCTAAAATAATGCTTCTGGCTAAAGGAGTCCAGAGGTGGGGTGTACTGTTGCCTAGGGAGGGTCTCATTTGACACTCATAGTCTACGATGCGCCATCAGAGTGTTATCGGTCAACTTTAAATCAAAATTGCATGCCTGGAGAACTCCTTCTATGCAAGAGGCCTGAAAGCATGTTCTGTATTTCAAAAGTACCAGGTAACACAGGAAAGTTTTCCTAAATGAATTCAATCTGCATCAGACAAAATGTGGATTGTTCTCTTAATACACAGAAACCACACCATCCTGAATTGCAGCATGCATCGGAAATTCAGTCAGACAAAAAATAGGAAACTATCTGCCCTGGGTCAGAGGCTTTGACAAGTACTTTGAGTTTTGGAGATGTGACTAGTAGAACAGTAGTAACCAAGCCAAATGCCAGAAATAGTGTCTTAGGTCTGGCAGTTCTGTGCAAGGGTCATATGAGTCATCTGGATCCGGAAGCACTCTGCTGAGATATAAACATGGGAATGGTGGAGATTTATAATGTCTACACTATAGTTACTTGTACTTGGACTCCCAGCCTGCAAATGTTTTTAGTGTAGCGAGAAAAAGCCATAATAGTTCTTGAAGAAAGGTAATACATGTAATCTTGAATTACTGCTTGCCATAAGGATGAACTTAGTCCCAGAATGCACCAAGGGCAGCACTAGAGTCTGCCAGGAAGAGGTTTTTTTGATGTATAGCAAGGAATGTTATTGATCCATGCCTGAAGAAAACTGTTGTACCACAACAGATGAGCCAGGCTATGCTGTGAACACAGACATTGTTGGTGTATAGCAGGAGTGAAATGCAGGATTGTTTATTGGTAAGGAAACATGAAATGACTTAGTATTTGCAGTTCTCAGGAGCATTTGAGAATGTCTTTTGAGAGTAAAGCTTTGCATTTTGTCATCTATGTTAATTCCTAGAGAAGTTCTTTAAAAATAAACCATTGTTAAATGCCTGTGTCTCAACCATTCTACTACACTTCTGACTGAAGTTAAAAGGACATGAGACATACTCATTATGAAATTTGCAGAACTGGCCCCCATAAGCATGGATTCCTGCTTTTTCCTCATGCTGGGTCTCAATTCCCTGTTTTCGGGAAAACCTGGGTGCTCCCGTGCTTCTCGCTTTGATGGGGCTGAGATGCTGCAAAATGCATAAAAAGACAACAATGTGGGAGCTTGAACTGGGAAATAACAAGAATAACTGAGTGTAAAGTGGAACAGATAACAAAAGAGTCTGTCAAAACAATACTGTGTGAATTGAGAGGAACCCTTCACTCTTTTCTGTAGATTCTGCATTTTTTTTTTAGGAATTGACTCGGTTGTTACTGACTGGAGTTGTATTGTGCTGTATTAAACACTCTGTACAAGTCAGTAATTAACAGAGGGCAATTCTGTATGCATCAGTGCTTACTTTTGCCACTCACTAACAGGTAATGCCAGTGTCTTGGAGAAGTTGCCTTTCTAAGTTCTTGGATTGAAGGAAATTGAGAATTGCTTCATTGTGGCTTATAGCTACTCACAAATGCAAAACTTATATAATATTTTGTAGCTGTAATGTTGTGCTTCAGTTCTGAAGAGAGTTGCAGTAGTTGCTTACTTGACCTTCACAGTAAGTGTAATTTTTATCACAAATGACATTTAATTTCTAAAATGAACTGTAATTTCCATACTAAGGACTTGCATTGTGTTCTTTTACAGTCCCTAAAAAGCCGCTCGAGAACCTTGATAACACAAAACACTTGTTGGTGGGTTTTGGAATATTTTATCTTAACTTCTACAGACTTGCTTCCTCCTATTGCTCCTTGGACAGCCTATTTTTTGTCCACCCTCCTCTGGAGTAGAACTTTGTTTTTACATATTGTTATCGTTTGAACTTTTCTTAGTTTATATCTTTACTTGTTAATTTTTGTATTCTACATATTTTTATCATGTCTTTTTTCTAATGGATATTTTTCAGAAGATCACACGTGTGGATGTGTTTTGAATTGGGGGAGCATGTCTTAGGAAATCATGGAAACATGAGTAGAAACTACAATCTGGAAGCCCAAATGCAAAGCAAAATTAGTAACTGAAGAGGGTCCCAATACGGAGAGTGGCCCGAGTAACGACAATCACCCCAATGCGGCTACATGTCGTCCCCCTCTATTGCCCGAGTCGCTTGGTTATGTCCTTTGCACAGCAAGCACCCGCTCTTCACGTGCCCCATACCCCTGGATTATTGGTCATAAGCAACTTATCATGCACCCAAAGGGAAACTGTGATAGGCAAGCATCTTGCGGTTTGCTGCATACTTGTGCTTAGCGTAGCCAGATACATAGCTGGGAAAATTCCTCATTTATCTCAGATACAGTTCCTCACAACACAGCCCTTCAAGGTCATCCTCATAACACAGGTGTTGTTAGCAGTCTGATCTCAGGCCTGGATTGTCCAAACCTTGCAACAAAATATCGTGGCCATTCTCTGTCAGAAATTCTACTACAAGGAACAGCAATTCTGTACTTATGAATGACATATTCATCTACTGTCATAGCCAGGTCATACAGTGATCAGCGTTTGGACAGTTGAATCTTTTACATCTTCTGATGGAGGAGATGAAGAAGAGGCTGAACAGTGACAGAGTGGGATACCAACTTTTACTGATAATGAAAATAAGTGGTGAAAACTGGCTTTAAGTAGTTAAGTCTGTGTTTTATTAATGAAATTTAGAAGTTACAAATAACTGAAATACTTTCTTGTACGGAACAAGTACCTGCACTAGAATACTGCTCTAGTCATGACAACTGTGCCAGCTGAACATGTTAATTGACTCAGTCTTTGAAAACCTGCTTGTATACCTATGCAAAACTGAGCAATTTAATACAGTGTGAACATTACTTTAGTAAGAGGGAATGAAACTGGGGACATCCCTTTCAGATGGAGAGGAGAGCATTCATTACATCTCCACCCATTCATTTTTTTTTAAATAATAAAGGAGAGTGCTTCATTCCTTTGAGAAGAGAATCACTAACTTGAGAAGTGGCGACACCAAGATGTTGAATAATCAGTCTGCAGCTGTTGCAGTTTAGCATTTCTAAACTTCTGTTCCTCATAGAATATCTCAAGTTGGAAGGGCCCCATAAGGATCATTGAGTCAACTCCCTGCTCCTCACCAGTCTACCGAAAACTAAACCATATGATGAAGAGTGTTGTCAGGATTCCCCGTGAACTCTGACAGGGTTGGTGCTGTCACCACTTCCCTGGGCAGCCTGTTGCAGGGACCCATCACCCTCCCAGTGAACAATCTTTTCCTAATGTCCATCCTGAACTTCCCCTGATGGAGCTTCATCCTGTTCCTTATCCCATCACCAGAGAGAGGAGTTCAGCACCTGCCCCTCCGCTGCCCGCCTGGAGGACTCATGTCCCACTGTCCTTTAATTGTCGGGCGAAGCGCACCATATTTAATGCTATTTTCTCCTGAATATTTGGTTAGCTCATTTGGCAGTAGTTAACTTATTTTTAATGATCTTTTTGTCAGTTTTTAGTTTTTTTGTTTTTTTTTTTTTTTTTTTTCCTGCATCACCGATTTTAAGACTGTCTATTTCTAGTAACAGGATATTTCAGATTGGGACAGTTTTCCAGGTAAAATCATAAAGCCATGGGGCAGAATGAGATTTTTGTTCATCTGTAATTGAATATCTGGCTATTCGGACTCAGATTAGTGGAACATTTTCATTATCCAGATACATAAATAAAATAGAAAGTGCTAGCTAGTGTATCACTAATGTAGAGAAACATTACATGTGGGTTTTAAGAGTATTCACTCTTATGCCATGTTACTTCAATCCAGGGGAAGGCAGAAACAGCTTTATTATATCTGGAAGAATCTTATTTCAGTCCAGTATCTAGAATCCAGGGTCATCTATTGCTTGTAATTTGCTTTCTAATACTGCAGTGGCATGCATGCCAAATCAAGGTTTTCTCCAGATGAATCCACGCAGGGTTATTGATTCAATAAGAGAATTTTATCTCATGCACAGCATTCTCCAAATTTCTGAGACATACTAAGAACAAGATGTCAGATGATTATCCACTTAAATGTTCTCGGACTGATGCTTAAAGTGAATATAGTTGTGTATATACACAGGGTATTTTTGCTCTTCCAAATGAAATAATCACACAATTGTTTCTAATCCTAATGAATGTTGTTCTAACTTTTTGTTTTCCATATCAAACAGATTTTTCAATCTTTGTGCATGTACATACTGAATTGCCTTGGTACCCCTTCATTATAAATGATGAAATGCCTTGAATAACTCAGACACTGGAATAAAAGCAGAATATGGTGACTGACCAAATGACTAGTATAGCTATTATTTTTAAGAAAACTCTTTCTTATTTTGTATTTCAGGTGATATTTGAATCTGTCTCTCTGAAGGGACATCCAGGGTACATAGCTGTGGATGAAGTCAGAGTTCTCGCCCATCCATGCAGTGAGCACTCTTTGTTTTTCTAAATGTATCAATGTGTTATATACCAGGTTTTACAGTCTAAAGGAATGATTTACCCAATTTTGTCAGCACTAAAATGTCATCTTGTATCCCTCTGAGGCACCTAAAGACAATCAGCCTTGCATAATTACATAACTTTGTGAGTTGTGCAAAAGGCAAAACTGCTCTCGAGCTATAGCTAGTGCCAGGACATCTGTGGAAGTGTCTCTTCCTCTCTTGTTATGAGAACATAAACCTGATTGTTCTATTATTTCTGAATCATATTGCTGTAGAATATCTAAAAAGCTTCTGATAATATCCTGTGTGTTAACTTAAGAAAAGAAGAAACAAACAAATTGTTTCAATATTTCATTGGTAAAGGACATATCCCAAAGGTGTGTCTGTCTCAACAAATGTTAAACCCACTCAGCACTCCTGTAAAGATGTTAAATATAAATCTCTTTCAGACAATACACTTGCACAGGAGGAGAAACTAATGCAGGTTCATTACGCTGTTCAAAAAATATTAGTGCCCATTTCTTCTATTGAAGCCATAATAATAAGCTTAGGTTTTGGGTTTTTTTTTCTCTTTAAAGAAACCTTGAGTCCTAATCTTTGAGTCTGAACTTTTTTGGTTTTGCTGTGCATCTACAGTGTGGCTTAAGGACCTTATTGTGTACGTAGTATACAGTTTCTTCTAAAGATTTTTTTTTTTAACAGCCCCTCTCACTAGTTCATAGTTTAAGTCAGTGACAGATGTTCACAAAAAAAGCCATAGATCATACTGATGGAGTGAAATCAACTGGTTTTCTTCAGTACAGAATTTCAAAGAATAGCTGCCATTCAGTGTGACAGCCATGGTTCTGCTCAAGTTTAACAGGACATTTCTGATAACTGCAGTATGGTTAATTGCTGTTTAACTAAATTATATTTGTATTTACCATGTGCTCATTGCTCAGGCCTTTGGGTGCATTTACTTCATTAAGAAATACTTACAATCTGTATTAACCAGATGTTGCTGATAACTGGCAGCATCCAGACAAATCCCCCAAATGGTCTGTGAGCGTTCCACAACATGTTGGGTGATGACTGATCCCTTTATTGGGAAAGAGGCCACTGAACAAAGCATGGGGCAAAGCTTAAGCGAGAAAGTTATGGAATTTAAAATAAGAGACAGGATGCTGTGTTACACCCCTGCTTAATCAACTATTTTAACTGATTTTAAATATATTTCTCCAAGTATATGCAGGTCCCTCTTTAAATTTAAGTGCATTCTTGGTGACTCAAACCTGATATGATTCAGTTAACTACTCCTTTTGAATCAGTTTGCAACCTGCAGCATACGGAACTCATTGCAAGCTGCAAGTTCTCTGCAGTCTTTGTAAGTGCTTCTGTCTGATTCCCACTGTTGCTTTTGTTGTGCAACATGGACAGCCACCAGGGGAAATGTCACCAGAGGGTGTTCCATTGACTTGTACAGGTGTTGTCCCTCATTTGTTTTACAGTTGTTACAACTCAAAATGCAGAGATCATAAAGTTCCTGATGACCCTGGAGGTTACTGAAATTATTAGCGATATTTCTTCATTTCTGGCTTTACCTTCATGAATGACAATATAGCAGACAGACCTAAGTATCAGCAAAAATGCAGTTAAATGCCTTAATGACACGGTAATGGAGAAAAATAAATATCTTGCTGGTATTGCCTTTTTTTTTTTTTTTTTTTTTTTTTTTTTTTGTCCCATGAAGGAGTGCACTGGAGTATCAATTTTCCTTATGCTAAAGTGCATGAGCACTTGCAGTCCTAGGGCAGCCCCATGCTCTGGGAGCTGGGCAGACCTGAGGACCGGGAGTTTGGGGCCAGTGTGACTGTGCTCACCCAGGCTGTGAAGCTTCATAATCGGAGCTGGCCTGTATCTGCCCACCTTAGACTGCATGCAGAAATTACTAGCATTAGCCTGCAAATATCATGTACTACATTCTGACTGTCACCCAGAGGTAATTTTCCAGTAAACTTTGATGTAAATTACTGATCCCTAGAAAGCACGATGGTACAGAGTTGCTATCTTTCAGGAGCTGTCAGGAAACAGCGTGTGGTCAATGGGGTACAGAAGCTAGATAAAAACATTTGGTGTAGTGGATATGCATGTGTTCTCTGTTTATGTGTCTATAGTAGACAAATACTTACATGTCAAGCTTCATGCATGCACAGATACAGATACCCTCATCCTTTTGAAGCTATTTGATTCCAATAGAAAAAGATGGGTTGCTGTGTCCTCTGAAATTATGTATGTCATCAGTGTTTAATCATATGAAAAAATGTGAAGTTTAAGTTGAAAAAGTCTGAACTTGAGTCTCGTAAGGCTGCTCAGTGTGTCCTACTAAAAGTTTTCAAATAGTGCATATTTGAAAATGGTGCAAGAATCAAGTTCATTTAACAGTGTCAGATTCACTACTATAATCTTTTTTATTTTCTTGTAAGTTAACATACCCACGTGAATGAGTATGGTGTTTAGTTAAAAAAGATAATCCTCTCATCTAGTTCCTTTGTGAACAAATACGATGTCTTCATTTTAATGTCAGTGGCTTAGTATTGAATTAATGTATCAGCAAACACTGATATTGATAATCTTAAATGAATACAGTGATACAGTACTGTCAGTTATACGAATATTTAATATCTGATTTGATATTAATGACACATCATTGTTCTAAATGTCTAGGGTGTATTTGATAGTCAATAAAAAGGAAAAATAAGCAAAATTTTCTGAAGAGAATAAATTACTCAATTGCTCTTTATAACAAGTTTTAAGAAATTGTGCAGATGACCATGAACCTGTGTTGTGATTTGATCTAAGTCTGTGTTTTCAGATGGGCCAGAGCGCTCTCTGATCCCCTCGGCTATCCTCTGTCAGATCGATAATCCACCTCACTCCGCAGCGAATAGTTAAATATGGAAGGACAGCTTCATTTTGCAAAATCACATTGTCAGGGATGGGCCCTAATGCTTTGCTGAGTGTTTATATCTGTGTTGGTGTAGCACAGTCAATTACTGCCTTGCTCTACCCTTGCAATACTTTGCATCTTTTGTTAGGAAAAGCACCTCATTTCCTACGACTTCAGAACGTGGAGGTTAATGTGGGGCAGAACGCAACATTCCAGTGCATTGCTGGAGGGAAGTGGTCACAGCATGACAAACTCTGGCTCCAGGTAAAGTGATGCGCGTTTTTTGGTGGTGGTTTCTTTCTGTTGATTTGCTTTTGGTTTGTTTACTTTTTCAAGTAAAATAAGTAGGTAGGGAAAGACTGGGGTGGTGGGGCAAAATCTTTTCATCAAGATCCTTTGAGAACTGCCTTAAATTGTTTTTAGGTGAGAGTTTAAGGTGGCAAAGTATAGAATAGTGATACAGAAGATGGAATAAATGTCCAGTGACAGCAAAATTTTGGTTTCAAACAAATGCCTGTGCACCTGTGAGCACTCAGTCATAAAGCAGAAGAGTCAGAACAAGTGGAATAGTTCTTCACTTTCTGCTGTATTATGCAATCTTCCTTCCTGTCATGCTCCAAAAATGTCCTCAGCCTATAGTCAGTGACACTATGTTAAGAAGGAAACCTACTGTGAAATCGGAGATTACTGCCTGGATGGTAAAAATAGGCAAAACCAGTTTGTACTCAGTTTTTCTTCCTCCCAATTTCCCTTGGCTGCATTTGATAGCAGATCGTTCCTTTTAGTCACTCACTAAAAGACCAAAACATTCCATTTCTTAATGTCTGTATTTTCACCTTACTGGTTGGATTTGAAAGACTGTGTTGTGCTATTCAGGTGGGCATACTGACAACCTTAAGAAGTCATTTTCAGTTCTAGAGTTAGAAATGGAACATATATCGGACTGAAGATGCGAAGTGCATGTTTCCCAGGGAAGGACAAAATTACTTCTGCTGTTTGAAGTGCTCTGATATGTAGGCCCAACATTATCATGCACTTTACACAGAGCTCTTCTAGAAGCTTTTAAAATAGTTGAGCTCTTTGCTTCTTCTAAACTTCTGTGCCATTAAACACCTAACATCCCAAACAAGTCAAGAGGATTCTCTTGCTGTATGTGCTGTGCATGTACGCAGGGCCAACGTAAACTTTCAGAACACTTAAGACAGTTTTTATTCTCCATTTGGACTGATCTGACTGAAGGCCTGACAGCCTCATGGATTTGTAACATCTGAGACAGACAAGAATGGCCTTTGTCATGGTTGCTATGGCATTTGTAGTCAAATAACTAACAGATTTTCTCAAACATTTTATTGACTTTAGACATTTTAATAAACTTTAAAAATAAAAATTTCAAATCTAGTTTAAATACTAGGAGAGGAATCAGTTTACCTAATCATAAGAATTAAAATTAGCACTGGGAAAAAAACCTGAGTTGGTGAGAAATGTAATCAGCATCATTTAAAAATGACTTGACAGTCACTTTGATTGTACTCTCATCACAGCTCTTCTCATAAAAATTACATTTTAAACTGAAATTTATTAACCTATGATGTACTTTTAGCATCCACTGAGGTTTGTTTTTTTTGAGTCCTTTCAGTGAAATATTTCCACAGTTATGACTGTGTGTAGGAACACTTCTGTGTAAAAACACTTCTGACCTGAAGCAGTATGAACCTTTTTCTATGAGAAGCAGGGGTTTGGGAGGAAATCGTTATTGTTGCTAGTAGAAACCTGTTTTCCATTCTCTAAAATTGAAACATTTAATGAAAATAGCCTTGGAAAAACCCCCAAAACCTGATTACTGGAAATCGGCAAAACAGCAGTGTGTTTTCCATTGAAACTCCTAACAGACTAGACAATTGAGCAAATTCAGGTGTGTTTGCTGTGAAGAACTTATATTTCTAGCTAATTCATAATCTGTTCCTTTTCCAGTTGGGAAAATGTAGTCTGGCATTGGTACAGAGGTTTACTGAGGAATGTTGGACATACAACAATGTCTACTCATCCAACCAATTTATTTAAATTGGTCCAGGATCAAAGTTTTACATCTGAAAATGCCAAATTTACAGAATCTGTTAATTTGTAGCATTTTCCCAAGTGTACAAAATCCATTCATTTGTAGTATTTTTGTATCCTAGCTAGCCCTCCAAATACACTGTGTACAACTGCATAATCTGAACTGTCACTCTCCAGCCTTTTCAATACATTTAACACGTCAAATGCCCAAATATGTTTCAGAAATTGAATAGACATGAAAACTTAAATATATGTGTAAGAATATTTAAGCCCTGGTTCATACAACCCTGTAAATTTTTCACAGTTATAGCTAGCAGGCTTCTATTGAAAAATTGTGCTTGGATAAAGTCTTATCTAGTGATGTGAATGTGAAGGTCTGAACAACATTAAGAAGCGTAACAAAGAATGAATTACATATGGATGCATAATTTGTGTGTCTTCACAACTTACATTATTCTTGTCCGTCTTTACAGCAGTGGAATGGAAGGGACACAGCATTAATGGTCACTCGGGTGGTCAACCATAGGCGTTTTTCTGCTACTGTCAGTGTAGCTGACACCTCTCAACGCAGTATCAGCAAGTATCGATGTGTCATTCGTTCAGATGGTGGATCTGGAGTTTCGAATTATGCAGAATTAATAGTGAAAGGTAAGTTACATTAAACAGCAGGTTTATGCAAGGTATTTCCTCCCAGATGGCATCTGTGTATAAAAATTGACATCCTATGGGGCTGCCTTCTTTAATTCTTATTAAATTTAAGTAAGAAAAAAAGTGTAGAAGTGACATGAATTTCAATCATTTTCTTCTCTTGTATTAAAATTTTGTCTGCATACAGGCCTCTGCATAAACTTTTGTAGTAATGCTCGATAGCTGTGGGTACTTCTATTGTAGTCAGCTAAACAGTTTGTCTGTCAGTCAGCTTTGTCTGCCTGCCTTTACAGTATTTTTATCAGGCATCAGTAATCTTGTGATGGAGAGTTGCACATCAGAAGAGTTTGCTTAAGGCTGCTTGGAGTAAATGACGGGATTGATTCTGCTAATGTCCTGAAGTATATAGGAGAAACATCAGTAGTTCTTGAAGGATGCTAGGGTTTTAGCCCTGTTACTTACTGTGATTCAAGAGCTCATACTGTGCCTGACACGCAAGACACGTTTCACTGCCTCTCAGGTGGCAAGATCAGAAGGTGGCTAAGTCACTCCTGAGACATTCTGTGTTTGGGGTGGTGGTGATGTGAGCTGGGAGGAATTTGAAGTATGGGTCTGCTCACATAGTATAATTTCATTGATCTAAATCTTTTGCTTTTCAGTGAAAATGGAGGGCTGCTGTAGAAGTAAGATCACTTTTGTCCACTGTACTGCTTTCTGTCAACTTACTCTGACATTTTGTCAGGATATTGATGACTTTACAGTGCCTTAAATATAGTGTGCTGTGTGGTGCAGGTATTCAGACTACACAGATCATGAAGAGAATGCTCCTGTTAGATACCAAGTGTTTTTAATTCCCACTCGGTGATCTTGCATCTTGTTCAAATCCAGAGGAATTAATTAATGATTAAAATGGAATTGAGTTTCCAGGAGTAGCATATCTGGTATTGTATCATAGGTAAATAGAAGGAATGCAATCTTCCAGAGCAACCAAACATCAGAATATACAAAGTTGAGTTAGGTGCCTGACACTTTCTCATTCATTGATGCATGAAGGGGAAAAAATAGAAAAATAAGTAATAAACATGAACGGTTGGATGTCCACCAGGAAAGACGATAGATTCATTGCTGGATTACTCAGGCAGACACCAAGCTAGAAGAACTTTTAGGATAATAATGGTTTTATGGGAAGGTATACTCCTCTGCTCCTTGCTCCCTTTTAAGGTTAAGTGGTTCATTTGAGGTTACTTTGGTGCAGTACTGTGACACACTGGGATTCCATGGATGAGTGCTTCCAAAAAGTCTGACTAATTTTAGTGTGGATAATAGCAAATATGTAATGCATGCACACAGGGTGAAATGAAAGCAAATTAGGATTGTTTAATTCTGAAGAGATGTTTATTGAATTTCAGTAATGTACTTGGGTATACATTAAATTAGTCTGTAATTGAAGTTTTGCTCAATTGATTGTCCTGCCCCAAAACCCACCAAATCCAAGCTAAGACTCTGCTTCTCATGTGCTTTCTTTTGATAAGTTGAACATAAAATCATAAGGGATTTCTTCAGCAAAGTTTAGATCTTTTTGCTTCCCTATGCTGAAGATGTTTTATGGTAATATTGAGAAAGGAAAGATTAATGTATATTTCTCAATATTGAATGATAGTATTTGGTGCTTTAAAGTACACGTGCTACTTCTACACCCTTAATTGAAACAACAGGTGTCTATGCCAGCAAATTAAAAAAATGATCAATGAAATTAAACCTTCTGCCGCACCCCCAAGTCCTCCCCTTACTTGTCTATGTGGACATCTTTAATAAGAACAGTGTATTATTGTAAAGTAATCACTGCAAATCTTGTACAAAATACGCTTTTCTGCAGACAGCTATTTACTGTATATGCTAACACTTTTCTGTCTTCTGAGATGGTTGCAGTGCTTCCATAAATGACAATACATTTATTCATCTCTTTGCTCTCTAGAAGCATAATAGTCAAAGCCAGAGAAACCTATAATTTCCATCTGTATACCTTACCATCCTTTGGTGCTCCAGTGGAAGTATTTCTCACTTCTCTCTTTCTTATTTCTCTCTATTTCTTATTTCTCACTGTTGCACATATAGTAATTCAATACAATTTTGTACAGGGCAGTTTTCAAAAAACCTAGAGATCCTATGTCTTACTATACTGATCACATATGAATGGAATGCTTCTAGTCTGTAATTTTCTTTTAAGTAAAATCTGTGTGGCAGTTGCTCATATTCTGAACTAAATGTAGGTTTTGCTTGTGGAAAGGTTATTTAAAATACTGTAGAAATTGGGTGGAATCTCATCATTTAAGGTCTGTATTCTTAGTGTCCTTTCAGAACACCTGTCGCATTACATAAGGTTGTGAATAACATTTTAAACTCTGTGTGTATGTGCGTGGAGGTTTGTTTGCAATTGTTCTTTCCTAATCCCTTTCAGATATTCTGGATGCCTAAATTAATTACTCAATATATTGTGGGAATCCATAGAGAGCTGTTAAAGAGGAAATATTACAGCATCTATAACCTATTTTTCATGAGTGAATTTTTCTGAGATTTTCACTCTCCAGGAAGTCCCTCAAAATTATTTAGTTGCTTCCTGATGCAAATTCTTTTAAGGCTTATGGCATTTTCTTAGGGTCTGTTCTGCTACTACAGGGGTAGTAGTACTCAACAGAGCCCCTCTATAGACCTCCAAGGATATGTTTTAGTTCTCTTCAGTTTTGTCTTATTTGATTTCCAAAGTGTTCGTTTAGTCAATACAGGTGAAAACCAGTCTGTCTTTTAACTGAGTGGCTTTCTGTCATCCTTCTGATATTTGGGACAGCTTGTCTTTTATCAGGTGCTCTTTTCTTGATGTGAGAAGCTGATGCCTCCAGTGACTCCAGAGGGAGAGGTGGTTTCTTCTTCACAGTTGTTTACTGTGTTTTCTCTAGTAGGTCTTTTCTGGTGTGATGCTTGTCACTGTTGTTTACACTGTTTGTTTATTAACTTACCAGGTACGCTGTGGAAACTGCTCCAGTGATCTGAGTATTCTCCTAATAAGTAGACACTGGAAATTAAAAAAAACCCCACAAAACAAAACAAAAAACCCCACATGCACAAAGACCAAACTAAAAACCACTATAAAAAAAGCCCTGTTCTAGTTATCAGAGTTGAGATACTCAAGTGTGAAAAACATGCTAAAAAATTAGACATTTAAATAAACCTATGTACTTAAGCTTCTCCAGTATTAAATACACTGTGCAAATTCCAGATCCACAATTACAAGGCAGACTCATCAAGGAAAACATCTACAGGTATTTTGACTATCTCAGTATTTATTATTTGATTATGTCCAGAGTAGTTCCAGTTAATTATTAAACAGCAGGTAGTCCTATTAGGAGAAAGAGTTTTCTGGAACTTAAAAGTAGTAAGAAATAAAACCATCTCTCTTCTACAGCTGAGCCTGATCTTGGGCTAGAGCTGGCCCTAGAAATGTTGCGTATGTCATTACACATATACTCTAGAGTAGAGCTTGTTCCAGGGATGAAAATATAATTATCTTCAACATAAATGTTTAGGATGCTCACAAACTCCAAAGTCTTTCACTTCATATAAAGGAATTACTAAGAGGGGTGGTGGATATGAAAAAGATTATTTAAAGTTTTTGTTGATTGGTTGGTTTGTTTTTTTTAGATTTATTTTTGTGTCTGATGCATGGGTAGTTCTATACCCCAGGATATTTGTGTCAAACATACTCATTAAAACTCACGTAATGTCCTTGCCATCATGGAGTAATATAACTATTGTTGCCATGGTGGCACTCAAGTCCCCGTATTGCACCCAGGAGATCGGGTGTGTTGATCTGTAAAGTAGACACTGTAGTGCAACAATCCTTCTTTACCATCAGGGTGTCTGGAAGACTGGGTCCATTCCCTCCCTTGCAATCATTTATGAGATAAGCTCAGCTGTGGTATATGAGCATTTTAGATTTTACTGTTAAAAAAGTATTTTTTCCAGTATGCATTAATAAGTTCAGATAGGAATTTTCATGCCTTCCAGCTACTTATCAGACTCATCCAGATCACAGAAGTTGCTGGGTAGATTTGGATTTATCTGCCTGAGTAATGCACATTAATCAAGGTCCTCGAAGTTATCGCCTTGTGAACAGGAGAAATTCTCTTGCTGGCGCTACCAACAGTATCAGTAAAGCTGTGATAATGAGGGTTCCCCTCAGGCTGTATGCTATCTCTTTCTCTATTTTTTCCAGTTTACGCAAATAGGTTCAGTCTGCAGAATTTACATGTACTGTACCATGAGAAGTTAGGTATAGATGTGATAAAGCATGTAATGAATTTATTCTTTTGAATACTACACGAGCACAGAATGGGTTTTGTGTGTGTGTGTGCATGTGAACCATTTATGAAGGTTATGCTGCCTGTGAAATTACTGAACAAGGGAGAATGGCTTCGTGATTGTAGGGTGTCTGAAAAAGCCACTTTCATTCTTTTATTTCTTCGCAGTCACAGTGGTTGTAGGGAATGTAATATTCCTTTTCTTCATGTTTGCATCTGGCTGCTAATTACTTGAACTTGTCGTTGCTCTGTTTAATTGTCTAGTTGAATGTAGTCCAATAGCGGTTGCTTTAACTCGGTTTTAATTATTAGGTGGGTATGTGGTGAGGAAAGGGGAGGCAGAGACGTTACAAACACTCATTCACTCTCATGAAGAGCTTTAACTCCACCTTCTCTTCTTTCAGTCCAATTTAGTATCTTTCTGTGAAGTGGATGGGGGAGACATGAAGACAAAGCCACTGTTTCGTAGGAATCGGCAGTTAGTATGAACGATGTGTGTTCTTTCAAAAGGAAACATTTCCTTCTCCTCTTGTTGAACTTCCAAAATAGAACTGGGAAATGAAGCCATTTCCTTGACAACTGATTAATATACACTTTATACACAGGATCCAATTTTCAGAATTGCACCGAGTGCCATGCAGACTT